TCTTGAATTACTCTCTCTAGGGAAAGCCACGTCATGAGCAGCTCTAGTCACAGACCCAGACGGTGAGGAGCTGAGGCCTCCCGCAAACGGTCAGCTTGAAGTAGATCCTCGAGCTCTGGTTAAGTCATCAGAGACTACAGTTCCAGGGAGACTACCTCACAGACTCTCTAAGCTAGAACTACCCAGCTAAGACACACCTAGATCCTTCATTCACAGAAACTGTGAAATAATGTTTAATGTTCTAAACAACTAAGTTTTTAGATTATTTATCAGACGGTAATAGATACAACAACAACACACACACAAAAAGGGAGCTCTGGTGGCCTAGTGGCAAGAACCTGTGCTGCAATCCTGAAAGCATGTAGTTCAAGGCCACCAGCTGCTGTGTGGGAGAAGGATGGATAATCTCCTCCTGTGTGGTTAACTGCCTCTGAAAGACTGCTGGAGGGTCAACTATAGATCAGTTCCGACTATTTGGTAAACAACAACAATAGATAACTAATTCAGGATAAGAGAAATATAATGTACGGTCAAGTAAGATATAATGGCATAGATAGAATAACGGGAATGGTTCAATTCATTATTTTAGTCCAAATACTTAGAAGTAGTTTTCTACAAAGATTGTGCTTAAAACAACGAAGGAAGCCCCTGCCCCTCCCAAAACTGAAGCCAAAGCAAAGGCATTAAAGGTCAAGAAGAGAGTCTTGAAGGGCATCCACAGTCATGGGGGAAGGGGGGAAAGGATGATGTGCACATCAACCATATTCTGGCAGCCTAAGATGCTGAGATTCTGAAGGCAGCCCAAATTAACTCCAAAAGAGCTCCCCCAGGAGCTCTCTCATCAATCATCAAGTTTCCCCTGACCACCGAGTCAGCCATGAAGAAGATAGAACACTTGTGTTCACTGTGGATGTCAAGGCCAACAAGCACCAAAACAAACACGCTGTAAAGAAGCTTTATGACACTGACATGGCCAAGGTAAACACCTTGGTTAGGCCTGATGTAGAGAAGGTGGTCTGTGTTCGACTTGCTCCTGTGACTACAATGCTTTGAATGTTGTCAACAAAATTGGGATCATATAAACTGAGTCTTGAATCATCATGCTTAGAAAAGTGAAGGGTTGGCAAAGGAGAGGAAGACCCTCAACCAGGTGGACTGACACAATGACTGCTGCAACACACTCTACTGTGTCAGGAAATATGAGGATGGCACAGGAAAGGACAGGGTTCAGCTCTGTTGTTCATAAGGTCACTATGGGTTGTGCTCAACTTGACGGCACCTAACAACAAAAAAATTGAGTGTAGCTGGCTAATTCTAAATATAAATTTTTCTCACAAAAACAAAACAAAACAAAAAACCAACAAAACATCCCAAACAAGCAAATAAAATGGCAAGGTTGTGGAGGGACTGGAACTCTTATTCACTGATGATGGTGGGAATGTAAAATGGTACAGCCACTAAGGAAAGAGGTCTGAAGCTTTCTTTAAAAAAGTTGGAAAGGGAGCTCTGGTGGCCTACTGGCAAGAAGCTGCACTGCAATCCCAGAGGCATGCAGTTTGAATCCACCAGATGCTCTCCTGAAGGATGGGAGACAATCTCCTCCTGTACCAGTCAGATCCAATTTGATGGTACACAAACAAAAATTAAAAAAACCCCAAGGTTGTAAATAGAAATACCATTCGACCTAGCAATTCCACCAAGGAGAATATACCTTAAAGAAACCAGAGCCACACTCAAACAAATACATGCAAACCCATGTTTATTGCTGCATTATTCATAACAAAGAGAAGGAAGCAACACAAGTGCCTGTTAACAAATGGATGAATAGAAAAACTATGGTGCATTCACACAATGGAATACTACACAGCACTGAAAAACAAAGAACTTGTAAAACCTTACACAACATGGGGGAGCCTGGAGGACATTACGCTGAGTGACATCTCTCAGTCACAAAAGGACAAACACTGCATAACACCCCTGTTATAAAATAAGACTGACATGGGGGTGGGGTAGGGAGAGAATGGGAAAAGAGTAGCTAGATAATGAGAACTGTATTAGAGCAGGTGAGGGTAAGAGCTGTCCGAAAGGAATATATGATTAGGCATTACATGTATGACAACAATCTGGAACAAGGAGTGCATGGCAGGGTGGGTTGGGGAAGGTGGGGGAAGAAAATGTTCAGCAATGAAAAACAAGTAATTTATAATAAAAAAGCAAATCTCAAACAAATAGTTGGGAGTAGCTCTAACAGTTTTGGTTAAAATTTAAATCCAATAGTCTCTCTCTCTCATCACTGAGGAGGTGAAACAGACTCATAATTGACCCTCCCACAGGTTTCCAAGGCTGTAAATTCAATAGGAGGAGGCCCATCTTTCTTTGGTGGAGACACTGGTGTATTTGAACTTCCAGAGGGGTGCCGTCTTTGAATGAGCAGCGCAGTTCCCTACATTAAGACGTCTTTGGTCTGCTGATAAGGAAGTATCCAAACATTTGAGGAAACTCAGGGAGCTTTGATGGCATAATTCAAAGGCACATGTGCTGCTGGCCCAAAGGTGGTACCTCTCTGGTGATTCCGGTCCATCACCAACTCCCCAAGAAAGATGGACCATTTCCTCCTAATTTATAACTTCTGAAAACCCTGTGAGGGTCTGCTTTGAGCTCTATGCCAAAAAGAGAGAGAGAAAGACAGGGTGAGAGAGAAGCTAATGTGATAAAATGGTAGGTTATCTTGTCTATTTTAAGTGTTCTCTTCCTTTTAAAATATTTTCCTATAGTCTGATGGAAAGTACAAACATGTCTGTGTTTAATGTCAATGGACAATGCTTAAAAAAAACTCAACCCAACAACAAACTCTTCTGTTACTAGTTATGACACAAATTCTATAGTGGAGTTCTAACTACAACACCTAAGTAACATCAGCCTGTCTTTTAAAAACAGTGCACATACGGAGCTTTGGTGTGTAGTCAGCACAGTGTAGTATAGCTAACCCAAAGGCCCTATCAGTCCATAAGCTGCTCTATGGAAGAGTTGAAAAGTTGTTGTTGTTGTTGTTATGTGCCATCGAGTTGCTTGTGACTCATAGTGACCCTATGTACAACAACCCTGAAACCTGCTCTATCCTGTGCTAACTTTACTACCTCTTACACATCTACCCTCATTACCCCAGTCACTGTATCAATTCATCTCACTGATGGTCTCCCTCTTTTTCTCCATCCCTCCACCTTTTCAAGCATGATATCCCTCTCCAAGGTCTCTCCTTGCAACATGCCCAAAGCATGTCAGACGAAGTCTTAGAATCCTTGCCTCCAAGGAGCAGCATGGCTTCACCCTTTCTAGGGCAAACCTGTTTGTTCTCCTGGCAGTCATGGTATATTCAACACTCTACTCCAGCACCACAGCTCAAAGGCATCAATTCTCTTTCTATCATCTCTAGTCATTGTCCAGCTTTCTGATGCATAGCAAGCAATTGTGAAGACTATGGCCTGGATCAAGTGCACCTTAGTCTCCAGAATGACACCATTGCTCTTCAGTACTCTGGAGAGGTCCTGACAGCCGACTTTCCCAAGGTAATTCATCTCTTAATTCCCTGGCTGCTGGTACTAAGTGTGCTAATTGTGGAGCCAAGTTGAAAAGTAGTCTAGGATAATATTCACAGCCTCAGAAAGCAAGTCACTGGATGGCAGTGGGTTTAGGATTGATTCTGGTGGCTTTGTGGTAAGGAATTACACTGCCAACCCAAAGGTACCCAATTCATATTCAATAGCTGCTACTTGTGGTAATTTGTGGTTGCTGTGAGGCTGAACACTGTGACACTGATGTGTCAAATGCGTTAATGGCTGGTTACCCAATGCAGACAGAGAGTGGGGTGGAGCTCCCGGATTAAAACAAGCTTGGAAGGAGGAGTGGCATCCACTTCCATAACAGCTTGTCTCGGGAAACCCTATGAACCTGGAGAGAGGATGAAAGGCACCCAAGCTTTGAGGACTCTCCTTCATAGGGTCGCTGTAAGTCGCCTGCGACTCGACTTGAGGGCTCTTAACAACAACAACAACAACAGCTGCTCCTTGGGAAAAAGGCCATCTCTTCCCTGGCAGACAACCTCTGAAAACCCACTGGATGGTCAGCTATGATTTGGTTCCAACCTGATCCTTCATAACAACAACAACAACAACACACACACACACACACACACACACGCGCGTATACACACACACGTATACACACACACACACACACGAGAGCGCATTCCATGTGGTATAGTGCATTAGATGTTCGGCTACTAACCTAAAAATCTAAAGCTGCTTAAAGGAGACAGACCGTCAGCATCCTAGTGAAGACTGACAGCCTAGTAGTGGGCCCCCAGTGGCTCATGTATATCAGAGATGATGAGGATGGGACAGGGCAGAACAGGGCAGGGATCTAAGACGGTTGTTAATAGGGTCGCTCTACAGCACCTAACAACAATATGAATCATGCAATCAGTTTGACACCTGTAGGTACAGATGATAAAGTGGAAGGTCAGTAGTGAAAACGAGGAAGACCCTCAACGATGTCTTCCACCTCTGCAAACTGCAAGGAAGAATCTGATAGTATTTCATGCTAGAAGAGACAGGGTCACTGTGAATAGGAACCAAAACGAGTTAGGAGTAGAACTAGACCTTATTTAAATAAGAAGAACAAAAGTCCTACAGTCAAGGAGAGACGCCTGAAGGTGAAGGGCCAATAAAGAACATTCACGAGCACCTGACCAACTTCTTTCAAAGGCCCGGTCTGGAATGCGCGCGTGCGCAGAACGCACCCTCCTGCGCAGAAGCCGGCCCGGAAGGGCTGAGGCTGGCGGGGGCGGGGCAAGAGTTGCTAGGAGAACGCGATGACGCAAGGGTCTCGGCGTGCTTCTCCACCAATGGGCGCTTCGTACCTGTGGTTGATGGGCCGCGTGCGTCACGCTGACACGCTCGAAGGGCACAGATCTGCGGGCCGGGAGGACGTTCGGCCTCTGTGAGCCGCAGCCTTTCCGAGGGAGCGGACTGTGCTGTTCGCCATCTTAGGGAGTGAGTGTGACCCGGCCTTCCTCTGGCGGGAGCGGGGAGCACCCCGGAGTCCCTGTGGGGCTCCTGCTTTGGCCGTCGGCCCACTCGTGCACGGCCTGCATTGGGGTTGGCGCCGTGACCTCCTCAAGGGCGCGGAGGCGGGAAAAAGTCCCCAATCGGGGACCCAGGACACCGGTGACATTTCCCCGGCTTGACCTGCCCCCTCTCTCCTAGGAGCATGTTCTCGTCCGTGGCGCACCTCGCACGAGCGAACCCCTTCAACGCGCCGCACCTGCAGCTCGTGCACGATGGCCTGTCGGACCCCCGCCGCAGCCCCGCCGGACCCCCCGGCCAGCCCCGCCGTCCCCGCAACCTGGCAGCCGCCGCCGTGGAAGGTACGATCCGAGCGCTCGGAACTGCCTGTCCGCCGGCTCGCGGCACCCCCGAGGCCTGGGCCGGGCCTAGAGGGCAGGGAAAGGACGCGCCAGGCTGCGCGCCGCTGCCCGGGGACGGCGGCCCTTCCCGCTCTAGACCGAGTGTCCATCCCGGGCCCTCCCTCAGGGGCGGGGAAGGGCCTGGGCCCCGCGCCAGCCGTGACCTCCGCGTCCTCGAGGGCGTGTGGGCTGGAGAGGCCGAGGCCAGCGCCCGTGGTCACCCCGAGAGCCCAGTCACCGTGCTGGCCGCGGTCACCAGCACACAGCCCCATTATCTGCCCTTTCCTTACCCTGCGCATTCCCAAGGCAGGACCTACTGGATGTCCTGTATGTGATTGATTGACAGAGGTCACTTGAGGCCCCAGGTCGGTGTCAGAAAGGATCGGGGGTGGCGCCATTCCTCTGCTCTTCACTCTTGGGGTGCGAGGTGCTTGGGCCCCGCTATAACTTAATCGTGTTTTAAATCCACCTGCAGTGTATATCCCTCTGAAAGACTGGTCGGAGTCAAGAGAATGGTCGCAACCTTTTGCCCATAAAGCCCTAAAGGTTGCTTTTTTTAAAGGCCATTCATTTGTTTCTCTTCTCTCTTTAGTATGAGTAAGATAATCCTTAACAGTCATACCACCTATGGTAATTGAATGCATTTCGGCGACTACATAAGTCTATACATATAAATTGTTCTCTACTTATGCCTTGTTTGAGTTTGATGTGACAGATAAGCCAATTTAAAAATACATGTATGTGCACGTGTGATATTTCCAGCTCCCCAAAGACAAAAATTTTATAAATACACAATTTTTTTAAAAGATAAAATAAAATGCAATGATAAAAGCTATATATAAAAGTAAAATACAGGTATTTGACTTACCTTTAGAATTTAACTTTGCTGAACGAACCCCGTTAGGATTTAGGGGCCTGCCTGTATCTAGTTTTATGCAGGTGGAATGTATAAGGGAGGATCATATTAGTGGCTGCGGTGAGCTTTGACGCGTTTACAGTTTATTACATGTCATGATGTTTTTTCCTTTAAGGTAATCTTAATGAAAATTTACAAACCATATCGCTCATAATCTTGAAATCATTGTTTTTACATTAGCAGTGAATTTTCTCGTAATTCCCCCTAGATTAATTATTTGACTTAATTGTAAAAGGAGGCCAAGTTTGCTCAGCTGTGATAATATTGTTGCACAGAGAAATGGTTTTCTTTTATTCCATTCCCTAGCCTTATGCATCTTGAAGAAAAACTTAATTGATTTTCTTTTTCAATCAAACAGAGCAGTATAGCTGTGACTATGGATCTGGCAGATTCTTTATCCTTTGTGGAATTGGAGGAATTATTAGCTGTGGCACAACACATACAGCACTGGTTCCTCTAGATCTGGTTAAATGCAGAATGCAGGTTTGTTTTGCATGTTGGCACTAAAGGGTACTGTTGAAGCATGGCTGTTAAGGAGTAAGTTGTCGTCGTCTACTAACAAGCTGTGTGAAAACCTAACTATCCAGGAGGTAAGTTGATGATCAATTAACATGAGTTTACACTAAAATGCATGGTGTGTCTTCTCTTTACTACAGAATACAGTTGTGAATATGGCTCCATGAAGTTTTATGCACTGTGTGGCTTTGGTGGGGTCTTAAGTTGTGGTCTGACACATACTGCTGTTGTTCCTCTGGATTTAGTGAAATGCCGTATGCAGGTTTGTATTACGATGGCACCACCAAAATTTTAATCAAAGTTCATTCATGACTTTAATTCCACAAGTATAGTCATATGTCGCTTACCTTCCATATATTGTGTGAAATAATGTGATTGGTGCGTGAATACATGATACACAAGTAGTCCTTTGATTAGGAGTTTGATTCAGTGGGCTTTATGGGCATTGGGGGTACAGACATGGACTCAGCTGTAATTGTAAACACGTTTAAAGATATAACAACTGCTAGAAACTTTAGTAAAAATAAAAATTTTAATTTCTTTTTTTTTTTTTTAAATTTTAATTTCTTGATGTTAAAAAAATACCAGTAGACTGTTCTCTCAGACTCTGGCTGTAAATAACATCATGTCTCATGGTAGACAAACACAGAGAGGAGCACTGTGTAGGGTTTTGGTTTGTTTTCTCTTTTTTTTTCCAAAAAACAAAACCAACAAATCCTATTGGTATCTTAGTATGAAAATTTTATGAGCATAGCTTTCTATATTTTTACATATAGGATTCCCCTATATTATTAACACAAAAATAATCAAACATCAAAAAAGTATTTGTCCTAAACAGGGTTAGAAGCCTACTTACCTAAGAGAAAAAGGAAAGTGACATATTAGAGGAAGGTGATGTATAGCCCCCTTCTGGTACTGGCAGAAATAAGAGATAATACTCTGATTAGTTAAAAGAAAGGATATAAAATATACTTTGAAATGTCTTTAGTATGTCTCTTGAAGTAAATTTTCTTTTTAAGTGGTAGATCAGATGACCCACTTAAATATCTCTCCAAGACTTCAGTGTAACTCTAAAAAAGCTCGACCTTTATGTACAAAATGTTATCTTTTACAGAAATAGTTGTAAACCTTAGGCTGGTGTCATTCATTAAATATTTATCTTACTGTTTTTATCTTGGGGACCAAAAAGAAAACTAGTCATAATCTGTTCTAGCAAGTTAATCATAAAAAGGGTTAACTTTGTGGTATATATATAACTTGTTTTTGTTTTCAATAAAGGTGGACCCTCAAAAGTACAAGGGCATATTTAACGGGTTCTCCGTTACACTTAAAGAGGATGGTGTTCGTGGTTTGGCTAAAGGATGGGCTCCAACCTTCATTGGCTACTCTATGCAAGGACTCTGCAAATTTGGCTTCTATGAGGTCTTCAAAGTCTTATATAGCAACATGCTTGGAGAGGAGAATGCTTATCTCTGGCGCACATCATTGTATTTGGCTGCCTCTGCCAGTGCTGAATTCTTCGCTGACATAGCCCTGGCTCCTATGGAAGCTGCTAAGGTTCGAATTCAAACCCAACCAGGCTATGCCAATACATTGAGGGATGCAGCTCCCAAAATGTTTAAGGAAGAAGGCTTAAATGCGTAAGTAAAGCATTTGTCAGAATAAATTTATATATTTATTCTTTTACCCCTGATTGTTTAATGTCTGTTTTCCCTTACATGGACTGTGAATTTTAGAGGAGCAGGTATCTTGATTTCCCTTCTCACTGACATATTTCAAGTTAAATTAGGTCTGATATAGGAGAAAGAGATCTAAAACAACTTTAGCACAGAGATCTAGGGGTGACCTGTAAATCTTGCTAGATACACATTTGGAAAAGAAGAAAGTATTCACCCTCTTTATACAAAGTCATCCTAAAAGGCACTTCGTCCTTCAAACAAACATGCATTTTCTCTACACAAAAGCACCATTTGATGACTTGATATTTGCAACCGTTACTTAACAGCCTCTCATCTAAACATTTTACTATTCTCTTTTTGGAGGGCTTGTTACAGTGAATATGCTGTTTGTGATACCTTGAGTATTTGAATGTATTGGGCCACAACATGCTTCCTTAGATCCACCTTTGTGGATGTCACTCTTGAACTGAGTTCTACTTGTAAACGTCTTGTTTCTTGTAGTTCCAGTCAAAGAAACATCCAGCAACTTTTTTGGTTGTACAGTCAAGGGTGCTTGAGTCATTGGCATGTGAGAGAAATATACCTGCATGTTAGTCATAGGTTCTGGTGGAAATGGCATGTAGCAATACTGCCATATTTCGCTGTCAGGACTTGACTTGTATGCGGACACATGTGTTAATGTCGATAAAATCTCAACCACATGAATATACGTAGCTGTGTAAAGTGAAGCCTGATTTCCTAGGTTCTACAAGGGGGTTGCTCCTCTCTGGATGAGACAGATCCCTTACACCATGATGAAATTTGCCTGCTTTGAGCGTACTGTTGAAGCATTGTACAAGTTTGTGGTTCCCAAGCCCCGAAGTGAATGTACAAAGGCGGAGCAGCTTGTTGTCACATTTGTGGCAGGTTATATAG